CTGCATCCACTGTCCTGCTGCAATTGCAGAGAAGGGGGCAACAAAACAAACAAAGCTAAAGTGAGCCTGAAAACGGCAGCACAACGGCGCGAGGCACGCGAATGCCAAAGCGCGCGGAGGGTCGCTGCCACAGATGCGTCGGTACAACTCTTCGCCGTGCGCACACAGTAAGAGTCCGAACAGGACACATGTTGCGTAACCGACTTGGGGCAATAAAGTTGTCGCGCTGTCAGCACTGCCCTGCCCCCTCGATCCCGTCTCATTCGCACGATTCCTCGTCCTCTCCAGCAGCAGCGTTCACATGCTCCCCTCCCCCCATCCCCGGGACCCCCCCATCGCAAAGAGGGGTTGGGGTATCGCCCTCCCCCCCCCCGGCGCCGGCCCCGGCGCGACGGCGCCGGCGGCGGCTGGTAGCGCCGACGCCCACGCCCACGCCCACACCCACACCAAAGCCCGCTCCCACGCCCACGCCCACACCCACGCCAAAGCCCACGCCCACGCCCGCGCCCACGCCCATGCTCACGCCAACGCTCACATGCACGCCCACGCCCACACCCGCGCCCACGCCCACGCCGACACTCACGCCCACCACCACGCCCACAACAACGACGACGCCGACGCCCACGCCCACACCGACGCTCACACGCACGCCCACGCCCACACCCGCGCCCACGCCCACGCCCACACCCACACCCACGCCCACGCCCACGCCCACGCCCACCCACACGACCACGCCCACGCACACGCCCGCGCCACGCCCACGCCCACGCCAACGCTCACACACACGCCCACGCCTACGCCCCGCCCACGCCCACAACCCAAACCCACACCCACGCCCATGCCACGCCCACGCCCGCGCCCACGACCGCTCCCACGCCCCCGCCCCGCCCACGCCCACGCCCACGCCCACGCCCGCGCCCGCGCCCACGCCCACTCCCGCACCAAGGCCCAGGCCCAGGTCCACGCTCACGCACAAGCCCATACCCACACCCACGCCCACACCCACGCCCACACCCACATCCGCGCCCACGCCCACGCCCACAGCCACGCTCATCACCACGCCAACGCTCACGCTCACGCCCACGTTAACGCTCACACGCACGCCCACGCCCACACCCGCAAACACGCCCACGCCAACACCCACGCCCAGGCCCAGGCCCAGGCCCACGCCCGCGCCCACGTCCACGCAAACGTTCACACGCACGCTCACGCCCACACCAGCGCCCACGCCCACGCCCACACCCGCGCCCACGCCAACGGCTACACCCGCGCCCACGGCCACGCCCACGCCCACAGCCACGCCCACGCCCAAGCCCACGCCCACGCCCACGTCCACGCCAACGTTCACGCACACGCCCACGCCCATACCAGCGCCCACGCCCACGCCCACTCCCGCGCCCACGCCCACGCCCACGATCACGCCCGCGCTCACGCTCACACCCGCGCCCACGCCCATTCCCGCGCCCACGCCCACGCCCACACCCGCGCCAACGCCCACGCCCGCGCCCACCTCCACGCCCGCGCGCGCGCGCCCACGCCCACTCCCGCGCCCAGGTCCAGGCTCAGGCCCAGGCCCAGGCCAAGCCCCACGCCGGCGCAGGCCCAGGGGGGGGAGTCGCGGTTCTGGACCTCCCCACCCCCTCCAAGCGCCCACAGAACGCGCTCCTTCCTACGAGTCGATCTCCGCCTGCTCAGGCAGGGTTCCAACACGCACAGGAGTCCTCGAAGACGACCAAGATAGCATCAAGACTGCTCAAGAGGCCTCAGAGGCACCCCAGGAGGGCTCCAAGACGACCCCCACGGGGCCCCCCAAAGCAAGAAACGTCAAAATCCTTATCGGATCACGTATATATTGAAGATATTCGCATGTTGGTCTCAACAGCGTCCAAGACGGCTCAAGAGGCCCCCATGATCGCCACAAGACGGCTCAAGAAGCCCCCAAGAGGCCCCCAAGACGGCCGCAGAGGGTCCCAAGACGGCCCAAGAGGCACCCAAAATGGCCCAAGAGGGCCCCAACAGGGGCCCCCAGAGGGGCCCATGAGATGAAACTCGAACTGACATTCCGAGTCCTCCGCCCCAAGAGAACCCCCGAGACCGCCAGCAGGCGCCCAAGAAACTCCCAAGAGGCCCGAAGAGGCCCACCCGTTGACTTCATCACTCTTCTGGGGGTCGGCGGAATGGCGTAAGCCTCTTGAATCCGCCCGCTCAACAGGCTGAGGGGCGTGCGGGGCTGAACTGTCAGAGCTCCTTGCCCCCCCCTCCCCCCACCCAGAGGCTTCCGGCATTCCGCCGTCCGGCTGCATCCCATCCCCTTTTCGGGCCCCAAGACGGCTCGAAGACGACTTCTTCCAAGACAAGCTCGATTCTCAGGACGTTTTGGAGACGCTGTCGGGGCAATACTGTTGAACAGTGAACAGTGGGCGCGCGACTACAATGCTTGGGCAGAGAGGCGAACCGATTCAGTTCCCAGACAATGCTGTATATTTGGGTGGGTATCTAAGTATCGACGGACCCCCCAAGACAGAGTTGACAAGAAGTATCGGTGAAGCGCGAGGGGCTTTCCAACAGCTCAGAACTCTTTGGAACCACGCAAACGTATCTCGACAGCGAGTAGCTTTGATACTTGAAACGTGTAGGTTCTCGAACTTGTTGTATGGGCTTGAATCATGTATGCTTTTCGCCGCTCGGCGCCTGCGGAAGATCCACGAAAAGCCACCTGCCTATACTTCGAGGATAAGCAACGCTGACGTTAGAGATCGAGGCAACGTTGGGCGTCTATCGACAACTTTGTTGCAGAGGCAGCTCAAATATTATGGAAAACTTACACGGGATCTGCCCAAAACGTTGCCTAGACAGATGGTCTTCCAAAGCGGACAAAACGGTGGAACGTTTACCGCAGACGAAGACGACTTAAATGGGGCCAATATATGTACGCCTGCGCTCTGAACATGGCGGGAGACGATCTGGATCGCTTGCAAGATCTTCTGAGAAGTACGTCCACCCTATGGGAGGCCGCAAGGGTGTAATCTTGCAGGCTTGTTTAGCTCAATGCCCTCCTCCCCTCGTTGCTGTTGCCTTCCTCGTTCTCTTCCCTCCACGTCCCTCTCTTCTTGCATGCTGTTCCGCCAACGTATTGTCGTCCGCCGTCTGGCACTGACCAACGTGCAGCATGTTCGCTCCGGCGCGCTTGCGTTCGCGATGCCGTCTTTCTGTCCATTCTCCCGTGGCATTCGTATCGTCGTGCGGGTACTTTTGCCGATGCGCCGTCCAGGCGCGGCTTCTTGCGTGCGTGTCGGGGCAGGCGTGGGTCAGCGGTGGACAATCTCCCTTTAGTAAACCTCCATTTAGTGAAGACGGCCTAGGACCGAAACCGACGGACCTGGACCCGCAAAAATGACGGCCGCGACGCCCTCTCGCAAACCGAAAACGGCAAATTCCGCTAATCGACGTGTTAATGTAGGAGGTCTATCAAACTCCGAGTGGGGTCCATTTCGGCCTCTTCGGGGCTCCTTCTTGGCGTCCAAGATTGGTTGCCAGGGCTCTCAGGAGCGCCTCCTGGGCCCGATTTCGCTTACAAGCTGAAAGACCACACAAATGATATGCGGTGCGACCACCGTTGCGGACAGCGTCCGGGCCTACTCGAGACCGGGTGGGCGAAGCGGTGGCCTCGGGAATCTAGCGTCTCTGGACTACATGCCATGCGAGACAAATGCGCAAAACAAATAGGAGGAACGGAGGGAGGATGGTCCTCCCCCCCCCTCCCCTCCCCCCCCTCCTCCCCCCCCCAAGGACCACAAAGTATAGCAAATACTAAACAGTTGTTGATGAGTTGGGCCTCGCCGTGGCTCGCCCGTACGCCTCTAACAGCTCACTCGCGGGCTCGTGTGGGGTATTTTTCGGCACGATGACTTCGACGACGTCTTTCTGGCACGCTCTGGGACCAATTTTGGACGATATGGGGCCCAAAAACAGCTCAGGTCTGACCTGGTTTTTGATGGAATCCCAACGGGGCTGCGGCCAAAAGAGGATGAACGGTCGTTACAGCCGCCCAGGGGCTCCCATGGGCCGCCTCGGGCCTTTCTTGGACGCTTTCGGAGCTCTTTTCGGGGCCCTCTTCAGCCCTCCTTGGGCCATTGGGGCCGCTTTTTGTCCGCCTTTCGCTGACCTTTGGCAATGTTCACGCTCTTTCTTCCGCATGGCATATCACATACGGCTTTCTACTACACAAGTACGGCAACCTTCCGAACGGCTCAGATCTGGCCCGAATTGTGATGGGTATTTCGTATTGCTTCTGCAATAACTATAGCTTCTATAGTACGGCTTCTGTCGTACAACTTCTTCAACATGGCTTATTTGAACATTGATTCCTTGGCATGGCTTTTTGCGTATGGCTGTTTGTCACTGTCATAAAATACTGTTTCTTTCATCTCGGATATTTCGTGTACCTTCTTCGGCATGCCTCCTAGGATGGCTTCCAAATAACCGTAAAGGGTTTTCACCTTTTACAAACCATTCCATTCTCGTCTTGGAAAGTCTGCGCTTCCGCGAGAACTGACACGGGAGGGCGGTGAACGCGAAGCGTCTCGAATACAATAAAAGCGGCGATGACGACATTGCCGCTGGAATGGCGGCGATACATCGCCGACATCACGCCGATACAGATCGGCGATAGGCCCCCGATCGCAAATCCGCACGCTCCTGGGCAAGGCGGGCCCACCTGGCCCCTATCGGCGATCAACGGGTGGTTGGGGGCCGATGACTCTCCCCCTGAGCCTGTCCACCACCACCCTGACGTTGCCCCTGATCCTCTTCCTCCTCCTCATCCACTCGTCCCACGTCGTCCCTCGTCCAGTGATCTCCCTCACTCCCCCCCCCTTGGATTCCCCTGATCCTCCTCCTCCTCCTTCTCCTCCGACCTCCTCTCCATCCAACTTCCCCCGTCGTCCCTCGCCCAATGTGCTCCTCATCCAGCAGCCCGTCCTCCTCCCGCCCGTGCTTATTTTGCCTCGCCGCCCGTGCTGCTCCGCAGGAGCCCAAATGCCCAGAGCCGAGCGGTCTCGCCTGCTGCGCAGAGCAGAGAGAGGCCGGCGAGCAGCGCAAGCAACACGGCCTTTACCTGCCTGCACTGAACCTCCGATCCCGGGGAGGGGCTGGGGGCGCTCAAGCGCTCGGACGTCCACTCCCTGTGTTTTTCTCGGTTTCGTGCGTGGTTGTTGTTCGCCAAATGATCAAGGATGCTCCTCGATGGTCCTCGCCGACGGAAAAATGCACACGTCCGAGCGATGCCAAGAGCTTGGAGCAGGTGCGATGCGAGGATTTACGGCAAGTTGGCGTCGTGTCGACTTCGGCGATGGTCCCTGACACCGTGGGGATGGTTCACCCCTGAACGGTCGACCCTTGCCGAAGCGTCAGGTCGTTCAACATAGACAGACTCTGGGTCGCTGGCGGCGTTCAACGTTAAACACCACCGGCGGGGTCGCCGCTGGTGGACACGACGGGAACCTACCGTATTCATCTTCACCGCCTGGGGAACAGATGTCCTGGGACCAGGTGGGCGGTGGATATGGCCCTACTTGTACCTCAGGGGAGCCCGAACATATCCATATCCACCGCGTGCGGAGATCCCTGGAGATCGATCCCACAAACGATTGTCATCTGGGATTGGCCCTGGCACCACCTGTCAGAAAAAACCTGCTTGCGGAACGGATTTGGTTCACAACCTGACATGCCCTGCAGCGGGCAACTGGAATGACCTGCGCACAGAAATCAAGGCCTTTCCCTGCTGCTCGACGCCTTCCTCCTCTGAACCAGTACAGAAGCCTTCTGAAGGAATCCTAGGAATCCTGAGGAATCCGTAGGAATCTTCAAAATGCCTAGGAGTCCAACGGGAATCCCAAGGAAGTCCTAGGAATCCCTGGGAACCCAAGCAATGGCTGCCGCGGGAGGGGAATTGTTGTCCCAATACTGCTTTCGGTTTCAATCCGTCAATGCGCCCGCGCATAAAATAAGTAAATCCCATCATAAAAGAAAGAGGTTATGGCAGACCCTTGTGTGTCACAAGTTCGGTCCACGAGCACATCAGGTAGGACCCCAGCGCGCAGACCGCCCGCACCGTCCTGCCCAAACATCACTCCCGCACCCCTCAATCCCGGGATCGCCCTCGCGGCTGGCGGTGTTGGTCGCCACAGGAAAACATACAATGTTGGGAGCCCTCACGGCACGGCCATCCTAATGCCGTGCCAGAACGACTTCATGGAAAAAATGAAGCGCGATGCAATCACATGCCGAAACGCTTCTACAAATCGACCCACTCCCCTGCCTGAGACATCGTGGGGACCCCCTCGATGGGTGAGTCCTGCTGCGCTGCAGGCTGAAACCTGGCACCATGGGGCTTCTGCGACCAATATTGCAAGCCGATGAACAAAGTCTAATCCCCTGGGAGGGATGGCAAGAAGAGGAAGTCGGTGTCGCAAGTGTCGGACACGCGGACCACGTTTAGAGGATTCGGCGCACTGCGCTTGGAATCTTGCGTAAGACGCGCCAGCACAGTGCGCAGGGAAACGATGCCAAGTTCATATGCCATCCCATGTCGGTCCAGACTCACGCATGCTTTCATTGACGATTCGCTGTTATATGGGGAACGTGGTGCCCTCCCATGGCGAAAGGAATGTAACCTATGATGCATGCATAACATTGGTCTATGGCTAACTGGCTGAACATACACCCTGCGAAATGCTTAAGAAATCATGGGTTAAGAAATTCAGAGTCTCAGAACTTGAATAAAAACCCCAAATTTCCATTCAAAACTTAGGATTTACATTGAACCATTAAGAATGATCGAGAGTCTGGCCGAAAAAAAAAGTTTTCTTAAGCATCGCCTAAGGTTTACACTGCTAGCGCTTCCCCTAAAGTGGTCGCGGGTACACGGTGGTGCCGCACACCCGCGGCCATACAAAACCTGAGCATCATATCTCGCAATATGTGCGCCACCGGGCAACCGCAACCCTGGAAACCATGTTGAAAACAGCTGCATTGTGAATGCATGAGATTGCGGCAGCGCAAACTCACTCCACATATGTAAACTGTACTATGCATAGTACATATATCCGGGAAACTCGGCTGTGACCCCCGAACAGAAAACCCGTGTGAATCAATGTGCAGGCCTTCCCCGGGAACTGATACGCCAACGTCAACTCGAAATCCTGGCCCCGTAAAACAAACCGACCGTGTGTGCCCAACCCGAAATGTTGATCAGCACGAGCCGCGCGCGACAGCTTTCCATCCAAAGAGGTAGCTCATTGCAATCAGGCGGGAAGTAGGACAAAGGCGGTGACGGTACTGGCAGCCACGCTGTCTTAGCTAATGGTTACCACGTGATGTCGTACCTTGTTAATACCACTCGATGCCTGCAAGAAAGATACGATGCACCGTAGTGAGCCTATCCTTACAATAACACTATAGCGTGCGAGCGCAACGAAATGGCTGCAAGCAAGAAACGTGCGAACAACACGCCGGCCCCGCGAGCTCCACAACATGCTTGTAAACAGTACAGTGCACTCGAGAGCACCACCATGCGCCTGTGACCAGCGCGAGAGCCCGCCAGCGCCACGGCGACCATGTGAATGCCACAACGTGTCTGCGGTCACCAGGCGATGAAGACACAGCCTGCGAGCCCAGGCACATCGAAGGCTCACAGTTTCCAGCGTAAGCCTGTGTACACCGCTCCAGGGCACGCGCAACACCGTCAGCCTGTGTAAACCGCCACCAGCTTGTGCCGCCGCAGGCCTTTGCAAAAGATAGTTCAACGTTTGGACAGATTCCACCGCGTCCCCTCCCTACTCTGCGCCTCACGATAGTGTGCGAGCACCGCAACATGCCTGCGAGCACAACAGCCAGCCCAACTGCGACCACCACGCGGCGAGAGAAACCGAACGCTGACAATAGCACACTAACCTTCGAACACCACATAGACGCACGCGCATGCCGAAGCCTCCTGCCAGTTCTGCATGCGCTTGTGGGCGCCACGAGGTCTGAGAGCCCGACGCCCTTGCTTGCATGGAGTCCTATTAAGAACCCATGGAGCATGCGGGGAAAGATCTGACCGTAAAGACTTCGAATCGGACCGTATCGGGGATGAACAGACCCCCCTTTAGTAAAACGTGGTTTAGTGAAAACGACCTGAGGCCCAAACCTGGCGGGCGCGAGCCTGGAAAATAACGGCCGCGGATCCCTCTCGAGAACCGAAAACGGACAATTCACGAATCGACGTGTCACTGTTGGGGGTTCTGTCCAGCCCCGACCGTGTCCGCCAGCGTGCGCTGCGCACGCTGGGGCTTGTTGGAATGCTCCTCTGCGGTCTGGCACGCTGTCGTCACCGTCTCCCGGGGTCGACCCCCATCCCAGGCCTGCGCGCATCCGCCGACCACCGCCCCGCCTCCTCGCCCCGGAGAGGGGGCCAGCTGCGAACCCTGCCCCCTACCCCCCCCGATTTCTGAGGGGGAGGGTGGGGTTCGCCTCGTTCGGGAGCTCCCGAGCGAAGCGAACCCCACCCTCCCCCTCAGAAATCGGGGGGTGGGGTAGGGGGTAGGGTTCGCATCTGGCCTCCTCTCCGGGGCCGAGTTCGCGGCTTTTTCCCCCCCCAAGAAGACCCTCGCACTTAGGGCATATCCCTTGCCTCCTGAGGTCCCGCCTGGGCCCCGGCGTCGATCTAGCCGGCCTGTGGCCGCCCGTCGCCACCGACAGCCTGGGCTTCGGTTGGGCATGTCCCCCATACGGGCGGACTCCGGACGAAAAATGACAAATATTCGAAGAATGCTGGACTATGTTTGGACTATTGTTGGATTCTTCTTTCTTTGAATCCAACAGATTTTGAATCCAAAGATGTTTGACTACTATGTTTAGACTACGTTTGGATATTTTTGATGACTATTTCTGGATCTTCTTTTTTGGGATTCAGAACGTATTCCAGGAAGAGCCCCCTGACAATTTTTCTTACTATTCTTGGACCTTCTCCCTGGAGAGGGACATGCCCGACTCCAGCCTGGGCCCCCCTGCCGCTCCGGCCTGCCTGTGGCCGCCCGTCGCCGCCGCCCGCCCGGGGGCACCGGAGTCGGTGCGGCTGGCTCGTGGCCGCCCCTCTTGGGCGTGGCTTAATGGGGGGGTCACAAGTGGGAGGGTCAGAAAAGGTCCCCTGTCGCGCCCCCTTCGGGCCCCTCCAGAGCCCCAGGGGGCTCGTTTAGGTACCGTTTGGGTACCTTTTCGGACCACACTCGCCGCCCCCCCATTTATGACCCCTCCATTACGCGGCGCCCAACCCTCGTCGCCGGCGTCCGTCCGGGCCCCCCGCTGGCCATCGCTCGGACGTCCATTCCCCGTGTTTTTGTTCGGTGTTGTGCGTGGGTTTTTCGCCAAGCGATCAAGGATGCGCCTCGATGGTCCTCGCCGGAGGAAAAGACGCACACGCCTGAGCGATGCCAAGACCGTCGGTCTGGCCCAGCTGTGGCCGCCTCTGTCTCCGCCCGTCGCCGCCACTCGTGCCGCGTTGCTTTGCACTGCCCCGCATCGCTTCGCAAAACGCTCTGCGCAGATGCGCGTCGGGGTGCATCCGTTTGCCTCGCGCGGCGCTGCTCTGCATCGTGTTGTATTGTCTTGCGATGCTCTGTGCCACAGAAGTGCACCAATTGGATTGCACAAGCTAGATTGCACTAAGTTCACTGCACCAGCTAGATTGTACCGCATATCTTGCAAAAATCGTTGTTCGGGGTCCGCGCTGGCTAACATTCGAATTCAAGTTGTAGAGACAATGACATGGGCCAAAGAGGCCTCCCCAAGGGCGGTACAAAAGTGTAAACCAGCAACATACATAAAAACACAACCAAACAACCATCACACAGAGCCAAAAACAGTCCAAGCATCAACACAAACTCACAACACAACCAAACCAACACGGTGAGGAGGGTAAAATCACAGCACAAGGATAAAATCGGGTGACGATCTCTGAGATCCGGCAGCTCTGGAGGATACTTCGGGCGCCGCGGTCTTCTCAGAGCATTCTGGAGCGCTCTGAGAGCGTCCCGGAACGCTCTGGAACAGATTGATCCACGTCCTAGTCAAGTCTGATTCCCTCCCCCTCCTCCCCCTCGTCCCTCCCTCTTCTCCCCTTCTCCCTCCCCCCTCCACCCCTTCTCCCCCCCCTCCCCCCCTCGACAATTACACAATATGAATACTACTCTCCTCTCTCCCCTAATGATGTCTGGAAGATGTCCGGCTCCCCTCCGCGTACTGTTTTTAACAGACCACGTTCCAAGGAATTGGGTTTTCGCTTAAGTTGTGTTTCAAAATGTTGTTCCTGCTGTAGCTCCGACCTCATTTTCGGGCTTCCGCTCGTTCCGAATCGTGTTCCCACTGCAGCGCTGGCCTCATTCCCGCGCTTCCGCTCTTTTCGAATCGTGTTCCCACTGCAGCGCTGGCCTCATTTCCGCGCTTCTGCTCTTTCCGAATCGTGTTCCCACTGCAACGCTGGCCTCATTTCCGCGCTTCCGCTCTTTCCGAATCGTGCTCCCGCTGCAGCGATGGCCTCATTTCCGCGCTTCCGTTCGTTCCCAATCGTGCGTTCACGCTGCAGCGCTGGCGTCATTATTATTTCCAATGCCATGACACGACATGCAATGCAATGCAATGCTATGTGGTGTTCCGCTGTGCGATGCCATGCCTTCAGCTGCAATGCTAGGATATGCAGTGTTTGTCTGCGCAGTGCCACGCCATGCTTTGCCATGTTACGTTTTGATATTCAACGCCATGCTATGCCATGTTCTGTTCCGTGCTTCTGTGCAATGCCATTATTCGTGTTGCAATGCTTTGTGATGCAATTGTTCACTACGCAACGCCACGCCATGCTATGACATACTACGCTCTGATGTGCTTGTCTACGCCCTGCTATGCCGTGCTGTACGATGCATCGCGCACCCTCTCGGTATCATTGCCCTGCTCGACATCCGACTGCGCGAATGAAGAAGAGATCTACGCCATGGTAAGGGATGGGAAGGAAGGATGGGACGCCGGATATGACGCGAGCGCACGTAGTTTGTCCCTCCCCCTCCCCCCTCCTCCCCCAAGAGAGCCCAGAATCGAATCGATCAGTCGAATCGGCGATCGACATGAATCGGATCAGCAAAAGTCGGCAGCCGAGTCGGGAAAAGTCGCACTGGCGGAAATCGGCGGGCTAGCAGGCCTCCACTGAGAACTCGGAGCCCAGATCGAAGTCCCGAATCGAATCGAATCGGAAGCCCACCGAGGTCGAATGGGACCGAGTCGGGGGCGTCGACACGAGCCCTGCTCCCCCCTCCCCGCTCGTCCTGGACCCTCCAGCTCTCCACCCCTCGTCCCAGACCCTCCCCCTCCCCCCGCCCCCTCCTTCCCCCGCCTCCCCCCTCCCCCCCCCGCCTCCTCCTTCCCCCCCCCCCCCTCCCCCCCCCCCTCGACAATTGCACAACACACATATATAGTATATATATATTATATATATATATATATCTATGTATATATATATGTATATATATATGTATATATATATATATATGTCTATATATACACATAGAATGGACGCCCCCCCAACACCCATTCTACGCATTCCTCCCTTCCGCGAAGCTGGAGTCATGCCGCTCCCCTCCTGTATCCATTCCCTTTCCGCGCCTCTTCTTTTTCGTCTCGCATCCGCTAGCGGCCCATTTTCCACAAGCGCCAACGTGACAGATGCAAGCGTCTGCTTCTTCTACATATTGGTGGAACAGGCGCGTAAGCCATCTTGTTAACGAGAAACCAGCAAACCCAGCGATTTCACTTGGATTCCTGGGATGTCTGGGATGCGAATCAACGCAACCTGGTGATCTCGTTGGGATTCCTGGGTTTCCTGTGATTTCATGCCCGGGAGCAAAACCAACCTTGGGATCTCCAGGAGGTTCATGGCTCAGGACCCCAAGAGTCCCAATGAAATCGCAGGCTTCGCGACGTCGGTGATGCCCAAACTTTACGATTTCACTTGATCCCATGATTTCTTGTATGATTATCAACGGGACCTTCTGTTTTCACAATGATTCCTTGGATTCCTGGAATTTCACACCCTGGAGCAAAGCCAACCATGTGACCCCCAGGAGTTCAATGCTCAGAATCCAAGGAATATCAATGACATCGCACGTCGACCGTCGGCGATGCGCGAACCCTATGATTTCACAAGGATTATGTTGATGTCTTTGACGCTAATAAACGAAACCTTGCGATTTCATAAGGTCTTGGAATTCCTGGTATTGCATACCCTGGGGCAATACCAACCTGGAAACCCCACGAAGTCCAGGGCTCATAATCCCAATAATCCCAATGAGATCACAAGGTCCGAGACGTCGGTGATGCGCAAACCTTATGATTTCAATCGGATTCTTCTAATGTTTTGGTATGCGATTTCATGGGGATGCCGGGGATTCCTGAGATTTCATACCCTGGAGCGAAACCAACTGTGGAATCCCCAAAAAGGTCCAAGGCTCAGAATCCCAGGAGTCCCCATGAAATCGCAAGTTTCGCGACTTCGGTGATGCGCAACTTCTAATGATTTCACCGGGATTCCTATGATTTTTTGATGCTAATCAGCGAAACCCTTTTGAGTCGATTGGATTCCTGGGGTCCCTGGCCTTGGAGCAAAACAAACCAAAATTAGGATCCCTGGGAGGTCCAGGGCCCAGAACCGCAGGAACCCCAATAAAATCAGAAGGTTCAAGACGTCGGTGATGCGCATACCCTATGACTTCAATTGGATTCCTCGGGCTTCTGTAATGCAAATCAACGAAACCCTACGACTTCACTGGGATTCCTGCGATTCCTGTGAATTTCAACCAAGACCTTCTGTGACCCCAGGGCTCGTGCTCTGTTTTCGCTCCAGCGTATGAGATCACAGAAACCCCGGGGACCCCAATGAATGAAATCAAAAGGTTTCGTCGGTTTGCATCCCAGAAATTGTAGGAATCCCAAAATGGTATCGCAAGCTTTGCGCATCGCCGGCGTCGCGAGCCCTGCGACTTCAGCGGGATTCCTGCGGTTCAGGGCCCTGGGCCTTCTCCTGGGCATCCAGAGGTTGGTTTTGCTCCAGGGTCTGAAATCCCAGGAGCCAGAGGAACCCCAATGAAATCGCAAGGTTTCGTTGATTTGCAGCCGAGAAGGAATCCGATTGAAATCATAAGGATTCATCGACGTCTCGAACCGTGCGATTTCATTTGGATTCCTGGGATCCTGGTCCCTGGACTTCCTGGTGATCCCAAGGTTGGTTTTGATCCAGGGCATGAACTCTTAGGAACCCGAGGAATCCCAGTGAAATCGCAAGGTTTCGTTGATTAGCGTCCCAGAAATCCAACAAGAATCCAAATGAAATCGTAAGGTTTGCGCATCACCGACGTTCCGAACCTTGCGATTTCATTGGGGTCCCTGGGAGTCTGAGCCTTGAACCTCGTGGGGATCCCAAGGTTGGTTTTGCTGCAGGGTATGAGATCCCAGGAACCCCAGGAAATCCCAACGAAATCACAAGGTTTCGTTGATTCGCATCCCAGATATCATAGGAATCCCAATGACATCGCTGGGATCGCTGAAACCTCTTCTACAGGATGGCTCGCACGCGTGCTCCCCCTCTATGTAAAGGAAGCAAACGCCAGCGGATGCGGGGGAAGGTTTCAGCGAAGAAGAGAAATAGGCGCGGAGAGGGTTGGGCTACAGGAGGGGAGCGGCACGACTCCAGCCTCGTGGAGAGGAGCAAGGCGTAGAATGGGTGCTGGGTGGGGGGGGCTGCGCATTCTATATTGGCGCGTGTGGAAAATGTGCCGCCAGCGGACGCGGGGGAAGGTTTCAGCGAAGAAAAACATAGGCGCGGAGAGGGAAGGGATACAGGAGGGGAGCGGCACGACTTCAGCCTCGTGGAAAGGAGCAAGGTGTAGAACGGGTGTTGGGGGGGCTGCGCATTATATGATAATATATTCATATTTACACATACACACACCTTTATATGTGTATATGAGAAACTTAATAAACCATATATTTTTGTTTGAACAAAAAACGACTCTCCTCTCTCCCCTGGTAGCGTCCAGGAAATGTTCGGCCCCCCTCCGCATACTGGCTATTTACACGCAGGATTCCTGGAAAACGAATTTTCGCTTTGATTTGTTGTCCTAAATGCTGCTCTCGCTGAAGCGCCAACCTCATTTTCGGGCTACCGCTCGTTCCGAATCGTGCTCCCGCTGCAACGCTGGCCTCATTCCCGCGCTTCCGCTCGTCCCGAATCGTGCTCCCGCTGCAGCGCTGGCGTCATTATTTCCAATGCGATGCCACGGCATGTACTTCTGTCCTTCCAAACAAGCCCCCAAATCTAGAACATGCACCCGCGAAAACAACCATCGGAAATGATCACACATTCGGTGTCGACTAAATTATTTTCTGGGCTGCAGAAGTCTCCCCCACTTTGGGGCGTTGCCACGCAATGCTATGTCAAGCTACGCGTCCTCATTTCCGCGCTTCCGCACTTGATTGTTTGTCACAATGCTGCTCTCGCTGAGGCGCCAGCTCCATTTTCGGGCTACCGCTCTTTCCGAATCGTTCTCCCGCTGCAGCGCTGGCCTCATTCCCGCGTTCCCGAATCGTGCTCCCGCTGCAGCGCTGGCGTCATTATTTGCAGTGCCATGCCACGGCATGGTTTTCCGTCCTTCCAAACAGGCCCCACAATCTAGAAAACGCCCCTCCGAAAAACCATCGGAAGTGATTACGCGTTCGGTGTCGATTCGTTGACTTCTGGGGCCGCAGAAGTCCCCCCCTCCACTTTGGGGCGTCGCCACGCCATGCTATGTCAGGCTACGCGTCCTCATTTCCGCGCTTCCGCGCTTGAGTTTTTGTCCTTACCGTCCTGCTCTCGCTAGGGCGCTGGCCCCATTTTCGGGCTACCGCTCTTTCCGAATCGTGCTCCCGCTGCAGCGCTGGCCTCATTCCCGCGCTCCCGCTCGTCCCGAATCGTGCTCCCGCTGCAGCTCTGGCGTCATTATTTCCAGTGCCATGCCACGGCATGGTTTTTCGGTCCTTCCAAACTAAACAGGCCCAAAAATCTAGAAAATGCCCCCCTGGAAAAAAAACCATCGGAAGTGATTACACATTCGGTTTCTCATCAAGGATTTTTCCGGCCGCAGAAGCCCCTCCCCCTTTGGGGCGTCGCCACGCCATGCTATGTCAGGCTGTGCGTCCTCATTTCCGCGCTTCCACGCTTGAGTTTTTGTCACAATGCTGCTCTCGCTGAAGCGCCAACCCCATTTGCGGGCTTTCCGAATCGTGCTCCCGCTGCAACGCTGGCCTCATCCCCGCGTTTCCGCTCGTCCCGAATCGTTCTCCCGCTGCAGCGCTGGCGTCATTATTTCCAATGCCATGCCACGGCATGGTTTTCCGTCCTTCCAAACAGGCCCCAAAATCTAGAAAATGCCCCCCCCCCCGGAAAACCATCGGAAGTGATTACACATTCGGTGTCGATTATTTTTTGTTGGGCTGCAGAAGCCTCCTTTGGGGCGTCGCAACGCCATGCTACGCCATGCTACGCGTTAATCTTCAACACCAGGCTATGCCATGTAATGCTATGCCATGCTGTGACACCCGAGTGTGCGAACAGAGAGGAGGCCTACGCCATGGTAAAGGGATGGGAGCGAGGGGTAGGACGTCAGATATGACGCGAGCGCTCCTGCTCCTGCTCCTGTTCCTGCTCCTCCTGATCCCCCCCCTCCTCCTCTCCTCCCCTCCCCCCCCCCCTCTCCCCCCCCCCCCCCCCCCTCCCCCTTCCCCTCCCCCTCCCCCATGCTCCCCCTCCCCCTCCCCCATGCTCACCCCTCCCCCCTCACCCTCTCCTCCCCCTCGCCTCTCTCTCCTCTCCTCCTCCTCCTCCTCTCCTTCCTCCTCCTCCTCCCTCCTCCTCCTCCTCCTCCTCCTCCTCCTCCTCCTACCTCCTCTCCTCCCCTCCCTCCTCATCCCCCCTTCTCCTCTCCTCCCCCTCCCCCCCTCCTCCTCCTCCTCCTCCTCCCTCCTCTCCTCCTCCTCCTCCTCCTCCTCCTCCTCCTCCCTCCTCCTCCTCGCGTGCCCCGTCGCCATCCCGCCGCCGGCATCGGCGGAGCACGCCGCCCCGGGTCTGCACGGCGGGGGGCAGGCCGCCCCCCCGCCGCTCACCGCGGCCCTGCGGGGCGCGCGGCGCGGGCGCGAGGCTCGGGGGAGACAGAAGGGCAGGATGGCGGAGGGCAGGTAAAGGGAAAGGGGAGGAGGAGGAGGGGAGGAGGAGGAGGAGAGGAGGAGGAGAGGAGGAGGAGGGAGGAGGAGGAGGAGGAGGAGGAGGAGGAGGAGGAGGGGGAGGAGGAGGAGGGGAGGAGGAGGAGGGGGAGGAGGAGGAGAGGAGGAGGAGGAGGAGGAGGAGGGAGGGGAGGGGGAGGAGGGGAGGAGGAGGGGGAGGAGGGGAGGGGGAGGAGGGAGGAGGGGGAGGAGGAGGAAGGAGGAGGAGGGGAGAGGAGGAGGAGGAGGAGAGGAGGAGGAGGAGGAGTAGGAGGGAGGAGGAGAGGAGGTAGGACGGAAGAGGAGGAGGGGAGGAGGAGGAGGAGGGGGAGGAGGAGGAGGAGGAGGAGAAAGAGGAGGAGGAGCAGGAGCAGGAGGCGGAGGCGAGGCCCATCCTGAGCCCAGGATCGGTGCATGCGCCCTCCTGCCCTGGCCCGGAAGGCATATGTGCCGATCCTGGGCCACGGATGGGCCTGGCCAGCATCGGTGCGCCCCCTGGCGCCAGGCGGCTCCCACGCACGCGCCGGTCGGAAGAGGTGGACAGAAGCATGAAGGCGGGAAGGCGGATCGAGCAGATCGGGCTCGGGCCCGCCCGCAGAGCAACAGAACGCAGCCTGAACATGCCGATTCCTGAGGTCGGAGGGCACCTGAAGCCGAGCTGGGATGCGAGCAGAAGAAATACCTGCTGCCAACGGCCGGCGTGCATCGAGGACCCAGCGGCGAGGCGGAGACCGGCTCCCCTGCTCCCCCTTCCCTAAGCGAGGACACAGCATGAGCTATGCTCGCCTCTCTCCTCCTCCTCCTCCTCCTCCTCCTCCTCCTCCTCCTCCTCCTCCTCCTCCTCCTCCTTCTCCTCCTCCTCTCCTCCTCCTCCTTCCTCCTCCTCCTCCCCTCCTCCTCCTTCACCTCTCCCTCCTTTCCCCGCCTACTTCTCCTCCTCCCCTCCTCCTCCTCCTCCCCTCCTCCTCTCCTTTCTCCTTCTCTCCCCCCTCCCCTCCTCCTCCTCCTCCTCCCTCCCCCTCCTCCTCCTCCTCTCCTCCTCCTCCTCCTCCTCCCCCTCCCCCTCCCCTCCCCCTCCCCCTTTCCCCCCTCCCCCTCCCCCTCCCCATCCCCCTCCTCCTCCTCCTCCTCCTCCTCCTCCTCCTCATCCTCCTCCTCCTCCTCCTCCTCCTCCTCCTCCTCCTCCTCCTCCTCATCATCATCATCACCCTGCTCCCTCCTTCAACCTGCTTCTGCCACCGCCATCCTGCTGCCTCATCCTTAATCCACTGATGCTGTCTATATTCGCGCCCGCTTATCTCGCATACTGATTTCTTACGCGCAAGATTGTCAGAACTTTTCGGCCTTTTGGCAATGATACTCCCGATGCAACGCTTGACTCATCCAAGGTTCTCTCGAGGGCCTCCGTCGAACCGATATCGTGTTCTCGCCATAACGCTGGCCGTACTCTTGCATCAATGAAGCTGGTGCTCCCGCAATTGGGTTACCACACATTTGCGCCATTCCACAATCTTCAAAAGGATCTACGCGATCCACCACGCCTTCCTCCTCCTCCTCCTCCTGCTCCTTCTCATCACCCCGCTATTGAATCTCTGTCTCCTCCTTCCTCCCCTTCTCGTCGTCCTCTGTGTAACGTCCTCCCTCCTCCGCATTCGCTCGTTCTCCCTTCTCCTCCCTTCTCCTCCTCCTCCTCCTCCTCCTCCTCCTCCTCCTCCTCCTCCTCCTCCTCCTCCTCTCCTCTGCCCTCTGTCTCCTTCATGCACTCCCCGCTCTTGATTCCCAGGGTGAATGTCCTCTTCGATAAGGTCGTCCTTTCGGCGTCCTAGTGTTTCCCCACGTCCGATTCTGGTAATAGAGGCGGGCTCAGCGCAGTGGACAGGGACGGGGGAGAGGGATAGGACGTCGCGAGCGCGCCTAGCTTGTCCTTCCTCATCGCTCCTCCCCCCTTCCTTCTCCCCCCACACTGCCTCTTCTCGCCTCCGGCAATCACTCCCCCTCTCCAGCATCGTCCTTCCTTCGTCCGTCCTCCTCGTCCTCCTCCCCCCCCCCAGTGCGCAGACGGCACGCCACCCCACCGTGCCTCTGGCCAAGGCCACCCTGGGCCAAACGATGGGGCACACGCCCTCCTGGCTGAGGTGAGGCGGGTGACCGTCCTGGTGCCGCTCGGCCAGGCATGGTGGAGTTGTGTGAGGAGAAAGAGGAGAAGAATAATAAGACGAAAAAGAAGAAGAATAATAAGAAGAAAAAAATAGAAAAAGAAGGAGGAGGAGGAGGAGAAGAAGGAGAGGGAGAAACCCTCCACCTCGAGGGGGAGAGGGCACGGTTTTCCTCATGGGGACGGGGATACCCAGAACTCCGACTTGGTGATCCCTGGCAGTGTGGGCCACCCCAAAAGGTCTGGACCCATTCTCCGGGACTGCCTTCTCACCCCGAAAAGTGCCTTGACGGCCACGGGTAGCGCAAAATTAGAGCCCCAGGAGGCCCAAGACTTGCAAAAGCTGCTCGTCGCCGTTTTCCACGACGAGAACAATTCTCAAGTGGAGCAGCTGGACGAAGAGCACACTCCGTAAGCATAAACTTTTGGCGCCCCGCGCGGAGCGCAAACTTTTTTTTATGTTTACGGCATTTTTTCTTACTCGAGTGACGCAAGACGACGCCGAGAAGAACTGCCTTCTGCGGATCCACTTGTGAACGTTTCGACATTGGGCGGAAGGGGGGGGAGGGGGGAGCTGGCTCCAGATCTCTGCTTAGTGCGACTGTTTGCACCAGTGCGTCCCATGGGGGAGACTTCCCCCCGCTTGCAACAGGCGCCAAAAACACCCAAGATCTAGTCCACGTGGGGGGGGAGGGGGGGCGCGAGGGTCCGCGCCGATCGGCAATACAAATGATAAAAAACGATCACCTTCACTCTCGGTGTTTCGAAGATGGGGTCCTGAGGGATGGGGACCTGAGAGCGAGGCACCTCCAGGAACGCACATCCACCCGTGGACCCCCTCCCATCCTTAGGCCCCCACCCCTCAGGACCCCACCTCTGAACCACCGACACTCCCGAGGAGGCGGAGGCGGCGGAGGACCCCACCTCTGAACCACCGACGCTCCCCGGACCGCTCCCCGGGCTTGCGCGGCCTTCCCGGCTGCCGGCTTGCCCTTGGCGGCCGGCTTGCCCTCCGGCTTGCCCTTGCCGGCCGGCTTGGGCTTGCCCTTGCCCTCCTCGGGGACAGGGGGGGGGCAAGGGGGGCAGACAGGGCGAGGGCGGGAGACGATGGTCTCATGCCAGTATCCGTTATCGGATTCCGCCCTCCCTCTTTCAACCAGAATCGCTCTCTCTCTCTCTCTATTTCTCCCCACTTGATTTTTTTTTTTTTTTTCTCCCTCTCTCTCTCTCTCTGCCTCTCTCTCTCTCTCTCTATGTTTCTCTCTCTCTCTCTCTTCACCGTGTCTGCAAGGAGTGGGTGTGCTAGAATGCTCGTCTGCGTTCTGGAAGAAGTTTTACATGTTTTCCAGGCCACTCTTTTCGGCCTCCAATCGGCCAAGACGACCTCCGAGACGGCTTCCGAGGCAGTCAAGATGACACCAAGACGGCCCAAGATGGCCCAAGACGGCTCAGGAGGCACCCAAGACGGCCTCAAGACAGCTCACGAGGCTCCCAAGACGGCCCAATAGGGCTCCAAGAGGCCTCCAACACAGCCCGAGGAGGCCCAAACCCTTGATTTTCCAGTGGTATTTGAAGGACTTTGTCGGCGGTGGACAAACCTCCCTTTAGTAAACCTCCCCTTAGTGAAAACGGCCTGGGACCGAAACCGACGGACCTGGACCCGCAACAATAGCGGCCGCGACGCCCTCTCGCGAACCGAAAACGGCCAATTCCTCAATCGACGTGTCAGGGTAGGAGGTTTGTCCAACCCTGAATTCCGACGGCCCCAGACGGCCCAAGGGGCTTCCAATATAGCTCCAGGACAGCTCCTGGGGGCCCCCACGTGGGCCTCAAGTCGGCCCAGGAGGACCCCCCAAGATCGCCAAAGACGGGCCCACGAAGGCGCGGCGGAGAAGGAGGAGGAGGAGGAGGAGAGGGGGGAGGACAAGCTAGGTGCGCTCGCGTCATATCTGACGTCCCACCCCTCCCTCCCATCCCTTACCATGGCGCTGATTTGCTCTATCCGCGGACGCGTGTCGTAGCGGACCTGTGGCTCCGCGCGCGCGTGCGTAGTGGGTGGTGGTGCGCGTGCGTGCGTGCGTGCGTGTGTGCGTGGTTGTGGTGGTGGTGGTGGTGGTGGTGGTGGTGGTGGTGGTGGTGGTGCTGGTGGTGGTGGTGGTGGTGGTGGTGCTGGTGGTGGTTGTCGTGGTGGTCGTGGTGGTGGTGGTGGTGCGGCGCGGTGGTGGCGGGCGGATGGGCGCGCGAGAAAGAGGCCCGCGCTGGGGCGAGAACGCCATCCTGAACGACGGAGGCCAAACACCGATCCGAAAATGAGGCCCACGCTGCAGCGGGAGCACGATTCGGAACGATTCGGGAGCAGAAATGAGGCCGGAGCCTCAGCGAGAGCAGCATTTTGAAAAAAAAACGCAGGGCGAAAACCCAACTCCCGGGAATCCTGTGCAAAAAAAACATTCGCGGGTGGAGGATCGGCTACTCCCAGGACGACATCGGGAAGTAGGAGAGTAGTAATCATTATGAGTAATTTGGAGGAGGCGGAGGAGAAAGCAGGAGGAGGAGGAGGAAGGAGGAGGAGGAGGAGGAGGAGTGATGGTTGACGGGAGGAGGAGGAGGAGGAGGAGGAGGAGGAGGAGGAGGAGGAGGAGGAGCGCCCCAAACCTCCCAAGAGGCTCCCAAGAGGGCCCCAGCCCAGGACGGCCCGAAGGTGCTCCAAGAGGGCACCAAAAGACTGCCTGGAGAGGCCACCAGGACGGTCTCCGAAGGCGCCAGACGGGCCGATCGCCCCATATAAGACGGCCCAAATGGGGCCTCAGGAGGCACCCAAGAGCCCCCAGGAG